CAGCACAGGGATGAAACAGGCCTCGTTGGACCCAGGCCACTGCTCGGAGCATGGCTGCCAGTGCCTGGTCTGCTTCTTGCTGAACTCGGCCCTGGGGAAAGAACCAACTTCACTTATCACTGATGCCATCAGTGAGCATGATGGTCATCTACCCTCAACTCCTCCAGACAGACAAGGCCAGCTGCAGAGGGGGGAAGAGAGTTGGGCCACTCAGGGTGAATTTCAAACACATGAGCCTCAGGTCAGGAAACCTCTCCATGAAAATTCCCTATTTATAAAACAGGCAGATTAGAATATGAGACCTAACCTTCAGTAGACAGGATTACTTTCCCATTCATTCCATAAGCAAGCACTGGGCACTTGCAATGTGTCAGGCACTGGGCAGCAGATATCAGGGCACCCTGGTGAATGATGGCCCCTAACCCCACCCATGGAGCTTCCCAGTGGAGTGAGGATGCCAGACACCAAACAAATAATTACACCAATTATTAATTTTAATGAACTGCTTCTACTTGAAAAAGCAGAAATCAACAGAAACACCCATTCACTGCTGGAGGAAGTTTAAACACGACCATTTGGGAAAGTGGTGTGGCTCTACCCCAGGAAGTTGAACATACAGGCCTCCGATTGCAGTTTCACACCCACAAGAGGGAGGTCTTGTGTGCACCAAGAGCCTGTACACAGCAGCATTCTTTGTAACAGCCTCAAACTAGAAATGAGCCCAAATGTCTGTTAATGGTAGAATGGGTAAATAAATAGTGCTGCACTTCTAGAATGGAATACTATGCAGCCATAAAAAATTAATGAACTGAGGCTACGCTGACCATAAATGAATCTTTAAAAGATACCATTGAGGGAAAGAAGCCAGATACAAAAGAATATGTTATCATGTGATTCCACATATACGAGTTTCAAAAACAGGCAAAACAACTCTATGTTGTTTAAGAATGCAAATAGGTGATAAAACCACAGAGAAAAGCAAAGCAGTGATTATCACAAAAGCCAGGAGAGTGGGTATTTCTGGGGTAAGAGGGGGGTTATGATTGGGGAGGGGCAAAGTGAGGCACTCTGGGCTGCTGGCGGTGTTCTATTTTATAACTGAGTGATGGCTACATGGTGTCCACTAAGATGTGTCTGTCTTGTGTGTGTGTGTGTGTGTGTGTATATATATATAATTTTTATGTATGTGTTTTATATTTCACAATAAAAATGTTTAAAAAGTGAAGATTACCTGCTCATGGTAAATTTTAAAATTCAAGCAGTCCAAAACTAGTTCAAAAACTAAATCTCCCAGTTCTCTTCTCAGAGGCAAACTTTCAGAGTCTCGAATGCTTTCTCAGAGATGTTCTGCACAAACGGCTTTGTTTTAAACAAGTTTTCCATGTATAAACACTCAACTCACAGAGAGTTTCCTGGGAGTATCCTGCCAGGTACCGAGGAAGTAGAGGATCTGTGGGCTCCTTGGAGGCAGCTCCTCTCTCCCTCCCTGCAGCCCCAGAGCCCTGCAGGGCCTGAGACAAGGGGTGCACAGCTCGTTCTGCTCGGGTGGGGAGAATCATCAGTAGGAAGTTGCATTCAGGTGTGAATAGGGTCCAGGCTCTTGGGGAGACAGCAGGCACACGTCTGTGCCTGGAGTGCCAAGAACGGGGGACTCATGACTGAGAAAGCAGACCGTAGTCTACGGCCATACTGCCCTGAACGGACCTGATCTCCTCTGATCTTGGAAGCTATTGTTACCGCACAAAGGGCACAATCTGCTTGCTGAGAGACAAAAGCCAATCGTCAAGAGGCAAGATGGTGGCAGAGAAAGGGTATTTTATTACTGCTTGCTAGCAAAGGGGAAGATGGCCAACTAATGTCTGAAAGAACCATCTTAAGGGGGGCACAGAATCTTGAAGCAGTTATATAGGCCTGTGGGTTACAGGGGAGGGCGTTAGGAATGTTGACCCTCTGGTGTTACTGACTGGGAGTGCCACACCAGATAGACTCTCTGTCTGGGGGTCATCATGTTTCTAAGGAACTCAAAAGAACAAAGTTATCATCCTATCGCAGCTGGGAGGTACACGCACAAACGGGGTCGTAAAATCTACAGACCAGTTAGATCTCCTGGAGGGTGCATATCCAGCTGGGTTAGTCAGTCAGAGGTCATTCAAAGTTACAATGTATTTTCTTTTCTACAATATGGCTTCCCTTATGTCAACCTTGTGTTGAGCCGGTATCACTATCAGGGTCGGGCCTGGTTAGTACTTGGAGAAAGCAGACTGTGGCTCTGAAAGCCTGCATAATGTCCCCAACAGGTTGTGCTGAAGTGAAGCTATCTGAAGGGAGGCTGTGAGGAGCCTGGACCATCCAAAGGAGTCCCAAGCCAGGCTGGGGAGACCCATGCCCTCAGGACACCCTCAGGAAGGGAAGGGTATGCTGCTGCAGATAAGCACAGGTGTGAAAGTGGGTTGAGGACCCGGCATGGGACACTCAGAATTGAAGACATTTCCCCATGAACTGAAAATATATCAGAGATGCTTGTCTAAGGGACCGTCTTTCACTCAAACCCCAAATTTCCCAGCTCCACAACAATGTGAGCCCAGAGGCCCCTGCCTCCCCCAGTGTGAGACTCCCAAGTGCTTGCTCAGGAGCCCTGCCAGTCCCTGAATCTAGGAATCTGATCAGCTTCCTGCCGAGGGAAGTGGGGAAGGAATGGTTGGAGCAAGCTGTTATCAAGGACACTCAGGGACTTAGGGTGTATTTTTCATGCAGGACAGTGCCAGGGAACTGAAGAGAGGCAGGCTCTGGAAGCTCTGGGTCGAGGGGTCAATAGACATGCCCTTTCAGGAGGCTCTAGTGTGGGCTGAGGCTGTCCACAGACCCTTATCAGTTCCAGACCTGCTCTGGCCACTCCATCACCAAGGGACTCTTGGTTACTAAGCAACCCCTGCTGCATCTGCCCTCGTTCCTTAGCAACCCTTGCATAACCCAGTTCCCTTGAGTTAGGGGTCGGTATCTACACATAAGTGAGTGGGTGCTGCTCAGGAATTGTGGAGACATTTCAGATTAAATATCAGTCTGTATCAGTGTCATAATGAAGGTGATCAAATGTTTTGCTTGGGAGGGACAGCCTTGGTTTCCAATTTATGTCCCTTCTAATTCCATATTTCCAAAAACACCCCTTGCAGGTCCTAGACCTCCTCACTATTTTATTCTGGCTGCTTTCACTCTGCTCACTCTCTCTCATGCTGTCTCGCTTCTGCAAGGTCATATCTACAGCCTTTCAATTCGAGGGGATCAGAGGTTTCAGCTTCTGATTGTTCTACCTTTCCTAAACAGGACACCAGATTCTAAACACGGTTTTGACCCCTGGGGGACTCCTCTCCGCCAGCTGTGAGCACGGATTAACCCCATCAAGTGTCAGGGGAATCAGTCTTCTTGGCTGAGAGGGCTGCAGGAAAAAGAGGACTCTCATTTTGTGGGGACAGGACACCCCCTGCTGGAAGGCTGGAGTTATAGCACTTCTGAGAAGCCGTTCCCTCCTCTCCGCAAGCCTGTGGCTGTCCCCGCTCTGGCCTAGAGCTGTTCTTTCCAAGCCCTGCTGGTCTAACCTTGCCTTGAGGTGGTTTGAAGGAATGCTGCTCACCTTGTAAGGAAAAGCAGCTCTGGTCTGTCGCAGGTGAAGTGTGGAGAGACTGGTCAGGCCCCATCTCTCTCCCCTGGTTTCCCTTCCCATTCAAGTCCCTCTCTCCCAGGGCCTGAGACTGAGCAGCTTCCAAGGGCCCAGGCTCTCACTCTCTCCCTTCATTCTCTATGCTTTACTCCGAAGCAGTCAGCTGGGCCAGCGTCGACCCCAGGTCCTGGGAGCTTAGAATGACCTCTGAGCCTAGCGCTGCCCACTCCATGACTCTCCATGCTGATCAATTCAAGTGCCCAAATACGGAGATGAGGAAGCCAAATGGACACACTCTCAAACTAGTCCCATCTGGAGGTAGATGCCATTCACCGTTGGGTCCAAAGAGAGAAGAGAAGGGAAAAGAAAAGAAAACAAAGATTCGGACAGAAACCGAGAGACATGGAACAGTTAGAAACATTGAAGATCAGGAAAGAGAGAGACTAGGGAGATGTCAACAGAAGCTGCGTGATCCTGGGCGATTGGTTCCCCTCTCTGGCTCCATCCGCACCCCAGTAAGATGAGGAGCTGAGTCGGGTGGTCCTAAGGCTCTGATAGCCCCAAGAGATTTGTTGTGAGAATCAGAGAAGAAATAAAGACTGAGCTGCAGACAGAGCCAGGGAGAAAGAAGCATCAGCACAAAAGTCAAGAGGAGTGAAGGTGGGCAGTTCCCGCGTCATGGACCCCAACCGGGGCAGCCTCGTCTTGGGCCACACCGCCTGCCCCTGCCCTGGGCTGAGGTGGGGCCAGCTCAGCCTTACCTGGCTGTGCTCCTGTCTTTCCTGAGTGCGGGTCAGGACCCCTTCCGCCGGGGAGTCTGCAGCTAGGTGTGCGGATGTGAATGCGCCGGGTTTCAGGCACTGCTGATTTATCTGAAAAGCTCAAGGATTCCTGGAATTTACAGTCTTAGAATTAAGAAAGGAGGTGGTGAGAGAAGTCCTCCCCACAGCTGGGGAGGAGGCTTTGGGAGCGGGGAACATGGGGAAAGGGCAGGACTTGTTGTCTGAGTAGTATTCTGCAGAATGCGGCACGTACCACTTACCAGGGACCCTGAGCTGTCAGTCCAGCTGTCCCAGACGCGCACACAACAGAAACAGACAGACCCATGGGTCCAAGCAGGTTCTAGGCCCCATGCTGTGGAAGGGGCGTGGGCAGGACAGGCAGCCTACAGGCTCAGCTGGCTGGGAAACAAAGCCACAGAGACATTCTTACCAGCACCAAAAAGAGACCACAGGCCTCAGTTCCCAAAGCCAGTGAAAGAGCCTCTCCCTGATGGATCAGGCCCCAGGTAGTACATGGAGCTAATGACTGCAGAGCTCCAGGTGCCCTTCTGTGCCCAGGCTTGCATCCGCCACCCAGGCTGTCACCTGGGCCCAAATACTTGATGAGCATCTACTCCATTCTAGGCACTGTGCTGAGTACTGTGAACAGCAAAATAATGAAGGGACAGACCTCACCTCCATAAGCTCACAGTCTAATGGAGGAATCAAATAAACCTAGTGCAGAGTGCTACCTGTCAAAGTGGAAGGAGGCTTGAGGCTCAGGGGGACATCCAAAGAGAGCACGGAAAAGCCATGTAGAGATGCCGACGGGATATTTCAGAGGAGGTACCCTGACAGTTGGATAAATCATTCTGGCATGCAGGAGAGCAAGTCAATGATCAGAAGAATGATTTGCAAACTATTGCTCATAGGTAGAAGAAGCCTCATAAAATGAATGAGATACCACAAGAAGTGAATAAAGTAAGGAGAGGAGAGCCAAAATTGGAAGCGTGGTAACCACAGGAAGAGGGTCCCATGATCCCTGTAGGCTGGCATTCACACCCTTGCATAGTCCCCTCCCACATCATACCAGGGTTGGCAGAAGTAATGGTATGTCACCTCTGAGGTTAGGATATATAAAACTAAGTGCTCCGTCTTGGGCCCTCACTGTCCCTTTCTCTCTTGGATCACTCTCGGCTGCCACGTTGTGAGCATCCCTATGGCAAGACCCATGTGGCGAGGAGCAGAGGCCTGCCCACAGCCACGTGAGTGAGCTTGGAAGCAAACCTCTCAGCCTCAGTTAAGTCTGGAGATGAGTGCAGCTGCAGCTGATGGCTTAACCCCGACCTCATGAGACATCCTGAGCCAGAAACCCCCCAGCTACATGGCTCACATGCCTAACTCTCAAAAGTGTGACGTCATAAATTTTCAAGCTGCTAAGTCTTAGCGTAACTTGTTATGCAGCAATAGTAATTAATAGTGCCACCTTGGAGAAAACTAGCTCAATGAAGAGACAGAGCAGATAATCCTAAAATATAAGATGTTTTAAAATAATGTAGCCACAATTGAAACAGTATTGTATTGATACATGAACAAACAAATCAAAAGAACAGAATGTAAGGTTCAGAAATAGATACAAACACACTTGAGAATTTAATATATGATAAAGGTGGCATTTCGAATCAGTGAGAAAAAAGATAGACTTATCAATAAATGATGTTGAGACACCTGTAGCTCTCTGGAGGAAAAGAAATCAAATTAGATCTATGCTTTTCACCAAAATAAATTTCAGATGGATCAAAGATTTAAATGTAAAAAATGAAACCATAAAAACTACAATAATTCTTTTTACTTTTGCATGGAAAAAAACCTACCTAAGCAAAGTCAAAAGAAAAGTATAATGTATATAAAGTTCTAGAACAGACAAAACTAATATATACGTACTAATAGAAGTCAGATCAACGGTTGTCTGAGTATAGGGGCATGAGGGAATTTTCTAGGGTGAGGGAAATGTTCCATATCTCAAATGGGATGGTGGATACACAGATATTTACATTTTTCAAAACTCCAGAAATTGTACACTTAAATTGTGTGCATTTTATTGTATCTACAGTGTACTTCAATAGAGTTCATTTTAAAAAGAAAAAGAAAGGACAAACTGAGGCAAACACCAATAGGTCCAATGTTTTGAAAAAAGCAAGATTTCTCCATGCAGATTAATTGCCCCAGATCCTGACCCACACCCAACTCCTTTCTTCTCCAGTGGTGACCCTTCCCCAGCCTCTCCCGGGCCTGGATGATTCAAAGCTGAGTTCCTGCAGAATGAGAAATTGTCTTCGCAGAGTTGAGGTTTCTATGAAGCAGAGCATCACTTTGCTTTGGTCTCTATACCAGGTTGAAGCATCCTCCAATCTTTGTTTCTGGGATGGTGCTATAGACTGAATGTTTGTTTTTCCCCCAAAAATTCATCTGTTGAAATGTAATCCCCAAGTTGATGGTATTTGGAGGTGGGGCCTTTGGGAGGTGCTTAGGTCATGAGGGTGGAGCCTTCAAGAATGAGATTAGGGCCGGCCCTGTGGCTTGGTGGTTAAGTGCGCGCGCTGCGATGCTGGTGGCCCGGGTTCGGATCCCGGGTGCGCATCGAGGCACCACTTCTCCGTT